TTGTTTGGAGCTACAGAATGATCGGAGAATTTCCCGAATGACTGATTCGTTTTTTTACTGAGTAATGTAACATTTAGCAACACAACCTAAATAACTTATTTAAATCAACTCCTCACGGATCTGTCAACAAAAAACACACCACAAAAATCTACTGCCTTACAAACACCGACTTCACTAATTGCTCATCCGCCAAATATGACTCACATGCATCTGAAGTAAACTCATGGAACATGTCATCACAGGTGCGATGCTAAAACAACTAGAGAACAATAATATACTTCACATTCTCCAACACGGCTCTCGATCATCCACGACCTTGCAGAAAACAGTAACACCAATAGACAGACAGATGTCAACATAATTACCCGAGCATTTGACAAAGTCCCACATAAACGCTTACAATACATACTTAAATACTATGCTATAACAGGGAACACACATACATGTATCACATATTTCTTATCACATCGCTTCCAAATAGTATTACTAGAAGGAAAGCAATCAGACAAAATTTCAGTCTTGTCAGGTGTACCTAAAGGTACCTGTTTAGGCCCAATCATATTCCGCATATGCATCAACAACCTACACGAATACATAAATCACATTACCCTTAGTCTCCTCGAGGATGGCACTATAATATCCAAAACAATAAACAACAGAGATACAATTAAACTACAGCGGGACATAGTCTCAACAGGAAGATGGTAGCGAGACTGGCTCATTTAATTCATTCAGGTAAATGCAACATGATCCTATCATCAAACAAACGCACCAACATTAAAAGTACTTACAAACTTCCAAAAGCACATATTACAACAGGGACTCCGGTAAATACCCAGGGTTAACACTACAGAGCAATCTTCAATGGGACATTCACATAAACAACGCAAACAAATCACGTTTGTGCGCACTATCTATGCATGCTTTGTATGCGTTGTGTAGTTACAACATTGTATCATTGCCTCATAGTTCGGATGACGTCAACAATCGGTACATTATCATCATAGCTGCAAGTATTGCAGTTAGAAAAATGATGATAATGTCATGCAATATGTAATAATTCATATTATGCATTTTTCTACGAAATTCAGATATAAATTGGTATATTCGTTATATGTTATGAACGAAGCTACCTAATATTTTTGAAGACAGTTATCGGAATAATCTATTTAGCAGATTTGCAAATGTGTTCGACTGCATAACTTTGGAGTTGGGAACATGTGAGCTTTTCAGCTATAAAGATCCAAAAGATGAACACCTCTTTATATGTCAAAGAGTTTTTCGATTTGGATATGTTCTAGTCTGGGAAGGGCATGCTTTATGAACTCGATTCACTAAAAATATATCGGTCCTTTGCAAATAGGGTGCGTATTTCAGATAGCCTGGTCAACTCATGTAACATCTGCACACACATGTAGTGTTAGCTTGTCCCCGTTTGAGTATAAATTATACATCACTTGGCAACTTCTTGTATTACTATTTTTAGTGCAGTAACCTGCAATACACTATATGTATACACCATATATATAGAAACAATACGATTTAACGACGACCTAAAACCTTCTCATGGCTCTTCAGGTTCAACTTCGTGACGTCACAATAACATGTCATCACACTAAAATAGTAACGTGACGTCACGAAGTACACAAGATAGGTGGACAAAGTAGTGCAACATTTTTACTGTGGCCTGTTGAGACTTGATTTAAATTTAGATTAATTGATCTACTTTCTTTTCTCTTACAATAGTGTCTGATGAAAATAGTTGATACAACAGCTATGGCCATTTAATGACGTGCTAGGCATCGATGGTGGATGAAAGCCGGAGTTCCCGGAGAAAAAAAAAGCCACCGACCTACGGCCAGTATCTGGCGACTGCCCCACGTAGGTCTCGAACCTGCGACCCAGTGGTGGAGAGCTAGTGGTAGGAGAATGTCAGACACCTTAAATTCTTGGCCACCGTAACCACCTCGTCTCTTCTGCAAAAGCTCTGTCTTTGGTATGTTTTATACTTTATGAAGGTATTAAGTGTAAACAAGTTTATGTATCAACCATTCATTATAAAAATATAGCCCATAGTTTGGATGTGGAAAAAATAAAATAGATCGTTTAGGAATGATGACAGTAATACAATTGCAAATATATTTATTGAATTTTATTGAGAAATAGGAATATACATTATATGGCATACAATTGACGGTGATATTTTGTCATAAAATTGTCACACATTTAAACATTCTTCTACATAGCTACATTTGTAGGATCGCATGGCGTTACACGATATGCGGTGTGCACACGATGTGTGCATGGTGTGTGCACGATATGAGCACCAGAACGTTGTGCAAACACAATCGTGGTTGTTGTAAATTGAGGAATGGCTTAACAATGAACAATGCAAGTGTATTAATTATGTTTCTATAGTCTAGATATATTTATACGCCTATCTGTCTATCAAGATTTTCTTAAATTTAGAAAAAAAGTGTTATCGGTGCTTTTCAAAACGATTAAATATCGAAATTATGGACACGGTCTCATGTAAAAGTAAACATAGATACTTTGTACAAGTAACTGGACCGTATTTTTAGTCACCCGTGGTACATAATTTGCTCGTCGCGGTGCGAACATCCATTCTTTACCCAGTCTAACAGTCACTATAAAACTGTGTAACACGCATTGTGAAATTGAAATAATCTTGAATTTATTTGAATGAGAAATTTTGTACAATGTACCTTATTTTAAACGAGCTTTAAAGTTGTTTTTTATTCCGTTATATTTATAAGCCAACCGTACCAAATTGCGTATGTGTGCGGAGAAGAGCCCACAACGATTGCAAACCGCACAGTTGTGTGCACCATGTGCGAACGATATGCGGACGATGCGCGCAATATGTGCGCACGTTATTTTCGCTTCAGTGTGCGGTCACACAACTGTATATACAATAGCATATAATGATATATTTACTCAACTATATAATACGTGTCGAACATTATGACAATCACTAAAACATACATTTATATTAACAAAATATACCACACTTTTTCTAGTCTCATTCTTCTTATGGCTAAAACATGAAACGTGATTGAACGAGTTGAGTATATCAGCACATATAAATAAGTCATGTCACACTTAATTTGTTAATATAATATATCAAAGCATGTTATAATTTGTGGTTTATTTATATAAAATATATTGTCCATCAAAACACTTTTTACTGCTGAAAAAATGTGTTTACAATCGAAATTGTACACCACACTTGACAATGTGTCAATAAGCAATGATAGCGGGCAAATATGCAACCGAGTCAAAGCTTGTATTATTGATTTTAAGTATGTAAACTATTTAACTAAGTGACCGCTGTTAACGTATGTGTGGAGCTTAAACCTACTAAATACGCTTCAGATACTCAAATATATTGTGAATCTCCTAGCCTACTTGGGAATTATGACTTATACAAATATATCATTTGATAGAAAGATTTATTATCAACAGAAAATAGCCCTTTTTAATTCTTTAGAAAACTGCACAGGAAACATATATACATAGCTATATTGCATAATAATTGTAAAACATGTCCTAACATTTCATTATATACTGAACAAAAAAAGAAACGCACAAAGTCCCCCTGCAGTACACCTTAGCTGTAAGGAAATAATGGAATATTTGGTCAGGTATTACATCAAGAACGATCTCCCTTCTCAACAATCTACCCTAAAATCAGCCAATCGTGACGATGTCATTGTGTGGCTTTTTGTGAGCTTCTTTTCTCCTAATCACGCGGCGTGATCAAGCCTCTAAGTTCAGCCACATTAATTTTCCACGATGGCATTTTGATTTCGTCAATGACTGAGATGCCACGCTTAACGCAAATTCAGAGGGGAAGAGCAATTGCGATGTTGATGGATTGTCATAGTCAAACTGCTGTCGCACGGCAGGTTGGTGTTGGCCCGTGTTTAATTAACCGTCTCTGTACACGTTTCCGTGCTACTGGGTTAGTTTCTGATCGTCCCAGGAGCGGTCGCCCGTGTGTAACGACCGCACGACAAGACAGGGCGATTCGATTGTCGCACTTGCGCAACAGATTCAAGACTGCTGTAGAGACTGCGTCGCATACCTTAGGTACTCATGGCAGACCTATTAGNATGTCGGGCCATCTTTGACACCACGGAGGCGGCAAGTGTGTTTGACTGGATGCGCAGACATGGCCCGAATATGTTTGGTATGCGTCGATGGAGGCTTGTGATTTTCACCGAAGAGTCTAGATTCTGTCTCTATCGCACAGACGGAAGAAAACGGGTATATTAAAGACGCGGTGAGCGTTTCGCCGACGCATGCGTGGTTGAATGCGATATATTCGGTGGGGCTTCTGTAATGGTGTGGGGAGGCATATCCCATGGAGTAAAATCCCCCTTAGTGGTCCTGGATCAAAACCTCAAGGCCGTTCGATACAGAGACCAGATCCTCCAGCCACATATCCTTCCACTTCTCAGACGTCATAACCTAATTTTCCAGCAAGATAATGCTCGACAGCATGTTGCCAGAGTCTGTCGTGATTTTCTCACGGCAAACAACGTTCAGCCTCTGGAATGGCCCCCATATAGCCCCAACATGTATCCCATTGAGCATCTGTGGGATGAGCTGGACAGGCGTATTAGGAAAAGTCAACCCCCTCCCCCCAACTAACCGCGCCCAGTTGATCGCAGCATTAACACAAGAATGGAACAACATTCCCTTAAGGCGAATAAATGTTCTTATTAATTCAATGCATAGGATAATCCGTACAGGGATTCGTGCAAAAGGTGCCCACACCAGGTACTGAAGTGTCATTTTGGCTTTTCGCGGGTATCCCACTTTCAGTAACTACTGATGACACGAGTGACGTCACAAAGACTTTTCTTCTACACAATTGTAAAGAATAGACTTGTCCCTTCATATTGTTATAAAAATTTGTACAAATTTTCCAAAATATCATAGGCTATTGATTGCATAATTTAATGGTGCGTTTCTTTTTTTGTTCAGTATATGTGTATGCAGTATATGTAGTTATTCTAAGTTCCCTTAAATGTATGACTTTACATGTTTCGTGAGGGAGATGCTTTCTTATTGAACTCTTGGACTAGTTACAATACCGTAGGATTAATAAATAATTTATTCAACTATTCCCGTGAGCTATTAAGACAAAAGAACGTTCCTCTACTCCGAGCAGGCGTGTACACAAGCATAGCTTGAACATATATCGGTTTTATCGGTTCTTATGATTGGATGGAATTAGCTAATGGCATCAGTTGATATCATATACATGCTACACGTACACGTTAACGGATATTTTTGTTATAACGAAATTTAGAAACGTTGCATAACCTCTCTTATAATTGTTTGCAGACCCATGATAACAGGCTCTTAAAATATTAAATATTCATTTGACATACAATTGGCAAGGGTTTCTGATAGTCCTAGCTGTTGTCGATGCAGTTGACGGGCTTTCGTACATGTTATTAATTTCAACTTTTTTGTTTTCAGTGAATAATAAGTGAATAGGCTATCAGAAACGATTAATGTAGCAAAACAATTGTAAAATGTACTTAAAAAAATCAACGTTACTGTGTTGCTGAGCACACAATATTGTTTGGTTTTACTTAACACAATATATACATCTTCTAAGTGATAGCAATACAAATTTATGCTGACGAAGTCTTTTTCTCCGAAGCGTATTCTGGTAATGTCAAAGCGATCTTAAGTACATGTTTACTAATGAGATGTCGAAGTCGGTCAACGTGATACAAATCCGATATATATCACAGATAAAAAACAATTGATGCAATCGCTTTCGGTATTGACCAATCGAAAAGGTACTTTCCATTTACAAATTTGTAAATATTTGGAAGGTACATTCAAGTAATTACCGAACTATAAAATCGATAACATGTTGTAAGTAAATAACAACAGATACAAGCATAATTGAAGGTGTTAACCAATATAATATTGGCGTGCTATCCTGGTCTTAAACATGGAGTCAAATGAACATATATTGAAGTGATAGCTATTAATTCTCCAATTTCCTTAATGTAGACTTATTTGTATCACTGTATGTACTAAAAATGTAATAAATAGAACACATAATGGCTTTATTTAGTGCAATACATATATTTGGTTTAAACCAAAAGTGATAATATCGTCAAATTATATTTTATGACATCAAATGAAAAACTAAACAAGAAGAAAAGAAAACGGCTGCACTATATGACAAAGAAAATGTCGATAATTGGAAATCTTGAAAAAGTTTCACTTCAGTATCTCTTTCAACAAGGTTTCCCTTGATGGACCCTATTTTCACTGCTGCTGAGCCTACTTTACTAATGGATTTAGACACCAGTGTTGCTTTCTCATATCAACTATGTGCCATGTCTTTCCTTTTCCTCTTGAAAATAATCATACATTCTAAAAAATAAAATGCGTTGTATACTTGCTTTCATACACATGTTTATCGCATGTTGTTTAATTATAGTGAAAAGAATAAACCTATATAATATGCAATAATCAATATATAAAATAATTAAAATAACACGTAACAGGCTTAGTGAAAAATATCACTATTGCAAATTCGTTTACAAGGCACATACCGTCATACACGATACACAAATATAAAATGTGTATCCATAAACCACCATTGATGAAATATATCGTCAGATAAATATAAGTGCCATATAACACTAGAATATTATGGCAAACAAATGTTAACATTCATGAAAGCATAACGTTGAAAAATATACCAAAAAATATGCATAAGAATATGCATTTGAAATTAGGTGAACATAATGGGTTATTATCACCCAGCTGATGGACCAATACATTCACAGTGTGTTCCGCTCAGTCACTATTGCGTTTCATCTGGTTTTTAACAATAACCGTTACATATAAATGTAAACTGAATAACGTTATTCACCACCGATATTTCATATTGTGACAATAATTGTTCCAAAACCAATTAGCAATTGTTTAAGGCATAAAGCATAATGGGTACGATTTCGCTCAATGTTAATTCATAAATACTCAGTATAAGTGAGGTTTTCCCCATGATAATTACAATGCAATAAGTCATGTCTACGATAAAGCTTAGAATGTGCAAATCCATTGATATTTAATATATTAATTAGAGCTAAACAAAACAATTCCATTCCATAATAATTATATTGAGTAGACGCTATGGTTTTAGTTATTTTGATTTATTATACAAATATAACAACTGTATAAATAGCTACTTGTTATATCATATTCTGACATATACACCTCTTTAAACAGGAAATAATTCCGTCCGTTTAAAACTTTATACGCAACGCACCTATTTATGTTTTACTTCGAGATGATACGATATCTGGATTTGAAGACAGCGTAATGAAAATACTTGCAAGTACTTAATCGACAAGCCTCGAAAAATACCCGACATTTTTGTGAGCTGAACTCAGCGTTGAATTTCCCGAAGTCGGTTTCCCATAGTCTGGAAGATGTCTATTCGACCTTTGTGAGCGATGTGTTGACACATATCTGCTTTGAGCTTGAATCTAAATGTAGTGAAGCAAAACAAAAAAACATCACTTTATAACCAGATCAAGGAGTATATTAAATATATTGTGAACATACGTATTTAGTATAACCAAACAAGAGTTTAATGTGACGTTTTGATGGCCAGTACGGTATGTGCTCTGTCACCTTCATCAGAATATGAACAGTTAACTGTATGCACGCAAAGGTGTACAATATGTACGAGTTGTCCACAAATCGATGTAAGCGTAAGTACAATTAGTTGTTGTGTATGTACCGAAATTACTCGCTTCAGCTACGCTTTTTCCAACACTTGGTCATAGATGTGCGAGAGTCTACGAGCCCCCTCATCGCGATTCAGGACAGGCCCCCTGCGGCGTATCCAGATGGCCTCCTTTATCTGCCGCATCAACATATTGCTCTCTCCGTCTAATACCTTAGAGGTATCCAAGTCGAGTATATGAATTTATTTCTGTGTGGCATGGTCTGTGGTTACCGATTTATTGATCTTACACTCCGACTGCTTCTTTTCTGATCAGGTGAATTTCTTTTCCTTTTGGGTTTCCTTATCTTTCCGGTGTTCACCAAGGCGGACCAAAATCGCCTTCCAGTCTCTCTAATATACGATGCGTCGCAGATTTGCATCCGGTATTTTATACACATTCGTCATTCCAGACTCTCGCACATCTATGATCACGTATTAAACAAAGCGAAGCTGAATTGAGTCATTTTGGTACATATATAGCAAATTATTGTACATCTGAAAATAGCTGAATCAAAATCGATTTGTTGACAAATCGTACATAATTTACACCTTTGTGTACATACGCTCCGCTGGTTATTGGTCTGATGAAGGTGACCATACTGTACAAGTCATCGAAACGTCACATAAAAACAGTTGTTTGGTTCTTTTCACAATCCATACTGATTAACCTTATACAAATGTTCAGATATATGTTAGATATCTTTCTGAATTGATCATTACATCGCTGAAGCTACGAATGTTTGTTTTTTCCCTATTTATTCAATTTATTATTTATCATAATAGTATGTTATTTGAGGTATTGACATCTGTTGTGCACACCAGTGAATCTTAGATATAGTAATACATCCACAATTTTCAGCTTAAAACGTATATATAGACAGATGAGAGATATTTAAACATATAGAGGGGGGGGGGGGGGTTGATTGAACACATCGTCAAAAACCAATTGTTCGCAAACACTTTAGCGATGACTTTTTTTTCAAATCAGTGTTTCTTTTGTAAAAGCAAATAGAACAATAGTTGCAGGAAAAATCATATGTAAATAAACATCAATTGGCGTTGTTAAAAAATAACGCAAAAATGGAGGGGTGAGGGGTATTACACTGACAAACAATTCTTAATCTATTTCACAAATATAACGTGCTAATTGCATAACCAGAAACATCTGTTCCTGAAATGCACGTGCCCTAAAGATATATTCATTCGCACGAAGGTTATACCCTCTGATATATGTTTTGTGCATATACAAATGTATACAGGTTTGTTTCCAGATGTAAAAACTTATGCCATTCTCACCGCTTCCTTGTCTGAGTTCTTCATATACACTTTGGCCAGATCCTCCTTCCAGTTTTTCATAATTGCTAAGGACAGAAATGTTAGCCAAAATTGGAAAAATTATTCATGCTTGATTTCCTTTCAAACACATACTATGTTTCTAATTCATTCACTGCTATTAAAATAAATTTGTGCACAAAACCGTTTCGTTTTGCAACACTTCATTTCAAACATGCATTTTCTTACATCATCTTATTTTTTACTGATTTTAATTGCATTCGTATAGGTTTTTCTCTTTTTCTGTTCAGAACTGTATGATACAGAGTCGTATGGTTAGCAACTATACATTACCTTTCTGCTGTATCGTTTAAGACAGCGTCTAAAAAAAACAATAACAGGAAATAATAACAGTGTTTGATGAATATTAATTTAATCATACAACCGTAATGCCAAAGGGATGATAGCTAATTAATGTGAAACGTAGCAATTGACCGCTTAATTTCGATGATCAAGAAACAGTAAAAATGCACATAACACTGTGTATTGTATTACTGGTGTTGATCGATGTTCGCTTCGTGTGCTTGTCTTATTTTATGGCGGATGTTTGCAGTAGCACAAATACAAAACATACTTACCATTTGCGTGGCTCACTTGGTCGTACACGTTTTGTGCTGCAAAGTTTGCTGTATCCAAATCTGTATACAAACGCCTGAAAGAGATAATCCTAAATTAAATTGAGTTGTGTTACGGTTGTCCATTCCGTTTTCCTATTTATATACACCATCATGTTGGCTCATTTTGAAACAGTATACACTAATCTATAGTTTGATATATATTCAGGAGTCGAAGTATATTGCGAATAAAGCACTTTAATTTCATTTCAATTTTAACTTGTTATATGGGTCGTCTTCCTATTTAATATACAGTAACTGGATATAGCATTTGGTGAATACAAGAAGAATCGGTAAGGTGATTGGATGCTCGATCAGTTTTTCGCATATATCGTCTTTCGATAATAATCGTACACTTAAAAAAGGCCTTGCAGTTTAATTTCAATTTTAATGCTATATGCGAACACATAACAAGGTTGATACGGACTTTTACCAAGCGCTACCCATACTCAGACTATGTGCAGCAGTTTCTCACTGACGCAAGCAATAGATGTGTTTTTGATTAGATAATAAAGAAATTATCATGAAAATGTTAAAGAAATTTAAAGAAGAAGGCAAAACATTTTCTCTAGATCATGAAATGCATTTTCTTTTTCGACCAACTATTGTATTTGTACAATCACCAAGCAAAGCTTGATATGCCACCAATGTCTTGTAAAGAAACAAAACATACATTTGCATGATTTTCTGAAAAGGCCAGCTCTTATTCATGATAAAATTCATGTATGCGAACATTTTGTCCGATTATTAATTAAATATGGACGTGGCATGACTTTAATTTATGTTTTGAAGAACAGATAATTACCGTTCCTGACCGGATGTTATTCTTGTCATTGCTGTAAAATATAAATGTTAACAAAGTTACTATAGCCTATTAGTGTTTACTTTTAAATATACAATTCGATTCAGTACGACCGATTACCATATAAAAACATATACATGTGTGTGATTTAATATTTATGCCAGTTTTTGTCATACATTTATTTTTACACATACCGTGTTCGGAATCTTCGATGCTAGTTAACGGTTTTGAGGTCGTCTTTGGGTTGTTAATCCTAAGTTTCCTTGATAAACAAAGACATTTAAACATTTAAACAATGAAGTTAGAAACAAAATAGCTTGTACATAAGACGATGTCATGATGATCACATACCTACGTATTAGTCGGTTTATAAAATACTTACCGTCTATTCATAATATGCGAGGCTAGTCGATTACAATGAAATGGACAGAATTTATAGAAATAAATGCTACGACATTTTACATAACAGTATCATCAAGTCTGAAATACGTTTAGCTGTAAATAACTAAAATATATCTTGTTTACTTACATAAATGGAAGGTGTCCAAATCCTGCAAGAATAAATGTACAAGAAAAATACATATGACATAAACGTAGTGTGATATCATCAGAATAATTGAGTATCTTGGTTGATTATTTCATCAGACATTGGATCAATTTATCTATAGGTGATATCTGTGAGACTGTACTTACGTGAAATAAATATTCCAATCCCTATGGTGGCTAGTAGTATGATAACTGATAAACAGATCAGAACAACGGAGGTCATGTACATTTGTCGATAAAATGGACTGGTGTCATCAATTTCTGAAAACGGTGAAATAAGAAACACAATTTAAAAAACTGTCAAGTATTCATAAAATTATCTGCGAATTCTATAAGTATACACATATTTGTTATGCTTATTTTGTTATGTTTAATTATATGAAATACTGGTGATATACTAATAATTATTTTGACTTTCAAGTCTAGAGTATCTGTCTATGATGTATAATTATAATAAAGGGGAGGGGGGGTTCAAATATATACAGATATGAGATTAAGAGATTTGCTTAGTGAGAAGACATACTCGAGAGCCGTTTACCTGTTAATAATATTGAAAAGCTATGTATGCCTACTGTCTGTAAAGTAAATATGCAATACTACGCACATGTGTTCATCTGACTTTGCAGATAGTACAGATGAATTGATAGTGTGGATATGTTTCACGATTGCTCTAGACATGTGTGTATTCGTTAAATGAATGTGTGTAATCAGAGACGTAAGATGAAATCATTTGTTTGGTGTAGCTTTTATGCATTCATACATTTGTTCTTTATGTACATTTGCTACAACTTTGTTCATATCATAACCAAGTTTAAGTGTTCAATTTTCTTCTCGAAAACTCCAATCGAACCGCAGTGGTCGACAAAAAGCCAACAAGTTACCTCAGAGTAAAATGGCGAGCAACTGTCTGAACATACTTTTTTGTTGATTGTGGCTACTAGTATCACAATGTTAAACAAAGCATCTTGTACTATAGACCTTAAAAGTTGCTTGTATCACTTCACTTAAACCTTCGAAAAATTGTCACAGTTAAGTATCGATGTCTATTATGGTCATATACTGAAAATGCAAGTGATCATGTTTTACGAGTTGAAGTGCCCGTGACATCAATTTAAGGGAGCAAAACCTCAACGTGAAATTCCGCGGTGGACTACTATCTTTGTCAATAATAACCTTGTTCTACGATGAACTATGATAAAATATAAACAGTCCGCTCGTTGTGGGTTTCTTGAAAAAATAAACAATTATTTATTACGTCGGATACTGAGCACTTATTCACACAACGATACCAAGCTATACAGTATTAACTGTTTATTTGTAATACACATATTGTCCCAGATCCCCTTTAATGGCATATCAATATGTCAATAGCAAAATTGCTATCCAAATATGTACATAGTTTTACCATAACGTATGCAACCTATGCTTATTAAACAAAACTGAAGATTCACCTTTTTCAATTTGAGAAGTAGTGAATTGCATTGTTGAATTATCACTACTGCCTTTTTCATTTGTTGCGAATAGCAGAACTATGTAAGTCGTAGCAGGAACCAAGTTTGTGAGTTGTACGCTTGGAGTTTCTTCAGTGACATCTATAATGTCCCACGTGGTTGACGACTGCTGTAGTAACCAAACATGGATCTGCTGGTCCTCTCGGCCTCGATTATTACCCGGTCTCCATGACACTACGGCAGCACTCGTTGTTATCTGGTCAACGACCAGGTCAGTCGGTGTGTCTGGGACATCTAACGTAATAACAACAAAGTGAAAAACAATTAGGAAAAGGAAATGCATACGTCATTATGATTTTAGAGTAAATTGAGGACGCTTATAATGAAATAAAAAGAAAACACACTCAACTAATAAAAAAAGAGAGTTGAAAACGCACACGAAACATGGTGTATTTGAGTATTTCCGTATCGGATATCGCCAATGTGAAAATGGATATACTAAGCGTAACAGATTTATCACAACATTTACGTGGGAACAAAACACTTCACGTATTTTTTCCTGTTCCATTGTCCTTTGAATCAAATGAAAATAATACTTCATTTACCTTTTTAATTAATTTGGAAAATCGTTAAACAGAGCGATACCACTTACCTTTTGGTAAGATAGTAAAGAGAAATACAAAATATGGGTTGATCGGGTTAAATTTCAATTTCAACACATTTTATAGACAATACCAGCAATAGTCAATAGGATCAGACATCAGGCATAGCCTATCTAAGTCATCTCATTAAGGTAACAACAGGTGGTAAGAAACACAGGCATATATCTATACATTGATATGATGATTGGGACAAGGGGATGTAACTCTTTGATGTAAACAGACTTGTTCAATATTCTTAAGATGGTAACTCTTTTACTAGGGACATTTTATTTGAGATATTTACTAGACTAGTATCTTCAGTGAATAGTATCAAGTATTAGACAATGCGTTTCTGGTATTCATATATGATAAACTGAGTGTAAGTATTTAGTGATATTGGATGTATTCCCCCAACAGATACAGACCATACAGTCCATATGTATAACACGCTAGCCATACACTGTTGAGGATCAAAAGCCAATTTCAGCAAATAGATATATTATTTGTAAGTAGGGTTACACTACTTCCTGCATATAATATGATAATTCTTTAATTAAATTGGAAGGAGTTACTTCATATCATGATGTAAGCTAAACAAAATTAAAAAAAATAAAAAAATCTAAGCTGCCCAGAGTCAATTTCATTCAATAGGTAAACAACATGTAGTAATTAAAAAAGGTAGAATAAAGTAATAGTATCTAATTCATTCCATATGATATTACATTAAGTATATCTTGTACTGCTATATCATTGTAGTTCACCGGGGGTTATAAAGCTTATGTGCATATATCATGAAAACAAATGTAAACGTGTATATGTTCCGAAAAATGGTAAGGGTAAGTCAAAGATTATATTAATGAAAATATTTTTGATTGCGATATAAAGTTTGATACATGAGATAAGATATCTCTATTTTGTATATCATTGCAACTATTACAATCATTTAATAGGGCATGTATGCACAGATGATTGTGAGTGAAATGATTCAAACTTTGTTGGAGAGTCTGACGAATATTGTTATATTGATTACATTCAGAAAAAATAATGTCAAGCAGTTTCGAAAGATCCGTTGCACTCACACATTGGAGATTAATTTAAGTGACCTTTATAACGATAATAATTTAGATTACCAGCATTATTTCTTAATTGGCAAAGTATAATGTTTACATCACGATCACCAAAGTATTTAAAAACATTAGTGGTTTCAGAGTTTATATGTTGCTTTGTATTTAGTAACGTTTTCAACTGTGCGGTAGATTGACTGTTAGTAATATCTGGGGCAAGTCTATTGATGTCATTTAGCATGGACGGAAATAAACTTTCAAAATAATTTAAAATACGACATAAAGGGGGATCAAATTATCTACTTGTTCGGAGGGGATATCTGGCAAGGGTTTCATCATGAAAATATGATTGAATAATTTCTCAGGTACTCAGGGGTTTCATTATTCATTTTTTTATACATCAAAATTAGTTTATGTTTATTTCTTCTACAGCTCAATATTTCCATTCTCATTCCTTGTATAATTTAATTTATTATAAGTTTGTATCATTAAAAGCGATCGGATTCATGACAGTTAGACTATAGTTGTAAATGTGATTGTGAGATTATGTGTGGATGAGACGGGTGGCTGATAAATATCAGTGCCTTGCAAAAAAGTCACTGATATCAATCGATCCACCCTCAAGTAGTTTAGGTCTTCCTAAACATAGAAACATTTCCATTTTGCCACAATGTAATTGATTTGAGTATCATTGGATCTTTAAGTGTCATATTGTGTGATGATAATACCCTATTTGAGTGTTACATCTGACATCAAAGACAGCCGTTCCTGTCTGTATCAACTAACCGTTCTTCCCTTGAAACAGTTCACTGAAGAGAATATATTAAAAAACAACTTACCAATACTGATAATATCAAAGGAATGTATAAGATTCTCGGCTACATCACTGATAACTGTGAGCTGGTAATCTCCTTCTTGGTTGATTTGAAATGATGGAAAATCTAAATTGATCCTGTATCCTTCCTGTGGTATCATTTTGTTGTAAAACGTGTCATCGAGTATTTCTTTAGTAAATGTAATATTGAGATCACTTGTAGGGGAAAGTCGAGCATTCTTACTGATAAACATTTCAGTCGGAGACGGATGGCTAATGAACGTCATTGTTATGTTGAGATGTCGATTCTTTTCCGTAATATAACGATATGCTCCTTCCAGTAACCGTGGAACGCCTGTAATAAAAATGAGGATGGCGCTATATGTAACATTCGAAGAGCATTATGAAACATTACCTCTTGATCCTGTCAACATATTATGATTCTGACACATTCTTAAATCTTTCTAAAATGGCATCACCATGATTAATCATGCAATAGTTAACATTTTCCCCTTGTGTTAAATTTGTTCCAAACTGTACCTTAAACAACGTATCTAACGTTTCATAGTTCATAGTTCTATATGAATAATCTACTTACCCTTCATAAATAAAAATATCAATCTTACCTCTGACATCAAAGACAGCCGATCCTGTCTGTTTCAGCTGACCGTCCCTCCCCCTGATAAAGTTCTGTACTTGACAGGTGTAAGTTCCACTGTCCTGATATGACACGCTTGCCAGTGTGAGGGTTCTTCCGCCAGTCCTGACGTCACCAGTGAGGGTCCTGACGAGAGTTGTGCCGTACATATGTGTCCAAACACCGTAAGTGTAAACGTTTGGAACACCTGACGCGTTACATGTCATCACCAGATGTGTATCGTGTTCAGTGGCGCTCTGTACCAGCAACTGTACATCCGGGGCATCTGCAAACAAGTGTATATGTTTATGTTCTGAATCTTATTCTACAGAGTAGATTTATATCTGATTTGTGTAATCACTTGTACATTGATTAGCATTTCCAAGTGCATCCGTTCTTGTATTAAACGAAGATATATTAGTTTCCGTAAGCCAGTTAACGCTACACATAGTACTGTTTTATTGACAAGTGTCGTCATCAAAGTGAACCTCCTAGTATCAATCGATTGCAGGTAATCGTGATACATACTTAGGGAACAGATATATGATTTTTTTTAAAACAGTTAAAGTCACTTATTCTGTAAATGCAACTAAATTGATACCAGGGAAGATTATACGAGCATGACATATTAGTTGAGATCACAACAATATGTTATCTTAGCTTTAATTATAGCCATGAATTCCCGGATGTAATACAGCCAGGTCGTTACTTACACTGTACCACAAGATTGAGGACGGACTGGGCATATAGCGTCCCAAACTTCTGAGATGATGACGTGGCATTACATGTGTACTGGTCGGCCTTTTTCCTGTTGATAGATGGTAAGTCCAGGATGTTGTTGGTCGAGGAATCCCGAGGATACCAAGTAACAGTAGGGTTGGGGTTACCTACAGCTGCACAGGTACACCGGTAATTGTCTGCCTCGTTAGCTGTGTCTGGACACGCCGAGAGTGTAATATTGGGGGCATCTGTAAAATAATGAACGACATAGCTAATATGCATTATGACTAAGTGCAATATGTTATGATGAATAATGGTACTTACATAACATGGATTAATACTTAGTCTTTGAAAATACATGGTACACTTACTCAGCTGTTGTAATTGGTTATACTCTTAAATAAAACAACAATAATTTACAAAGTATTGCCAGTGCCTTGGAAACTTAATTAGTGCACAAGAACGGATTTAGGGTATGTGCACCAAACAAAATATGTTGTCATTTTATTTCTTACAGACAGAGTAATGTAGTACGTGAGTACCTGTTCATACTCCGAACAGATAGTAGGTAAGCTGAAATATACGCCGCTAATGACAAAGAACTTTTGTTGATAACGTCAGGAATGACGTTGACAATTCGCGAGTGATATATATTTAACATCTGAAAAAGCGATATGGACAAGCCGATGTCATATCAATGAAATGGATATTGCGAGACATCAGGGTTTAAAAGTATTAGAGAAAGAATCACTCATTAATTTTGAAGTACATGAGAGTGCTATCTTTTATCAGCTAAGAGGCTAACAGGGAAAAACAAAGGACTGTTAATAAATTCAGAGACTGCGAACATGATTTTTGGTTTTTGTATTATCTACAAAGTTACGACGACTTCCGCGATCGTTGAAAGTAGGTTCCGTATGGTACTAGAGACATCACACACCTGACTGCGACAGAAACATGTGCAACTGTAAATAGACACAGAACATCGAAGTGTGGAAACGATTGGGTATATAATTCATAAAATGAAATAAGGAACAACTAAATAAACTAAAAGCTTTTTTAAACGAAGCGAAACACCTAGATTAGATTTTGTGGAGAGAAAAAAAAGATAAAAGGGATAAGGATGATTAAGCTAGTAGGGAGGTCGAGAAGAAGGAGTAAGAAAAAGAAGAAAGAATGAAGGTAGAGTCTTAGTTGACCAGGAAAAACATATAAAACTAGAAGTTTGACAACAAGAGACAGTAGACAAATCTAGAAAAAAGGACTTAGGAAGAGATATACATCATCAGATTTAGGACGTATTGAAAAGCATTCCCCCTCTCGCCTAAAGAAAAGGGGAAAACGCAGAAGGCTAAAACAGTTTTTTTTATCAATAAGTAATTACAAAAACCATTACGTCGAACACATTTCTATCAGCATGCAACTTGCCAAATATCACCAACCTAGACCTTAAGGTAATTCAAGTGAAAACCTTGACAACCCTTCATCTAAGCATGCTACTTGTCACATAACCACGCTTTGTATTTCGGTTATTAAGAAGAAATTGTTTAAAATTTTCAACATATTTGATCCCTGTGACCGTGCATATGGATGAAGGTCTTCAATTTGAACAAACATTGTACCGCTTTATGTCAGCATGTAACTGACCAAATAGCATCACCCTTGTCCTTTTGGTTTTTCAGGAGAAGTAATTTAAACATATCTGACCCCTTTGACTTTGAACATAAGTCAAGGTCATTCATTTTTACTTTTTGTCGCTCTTCAACCCAGCATGCTACTTGTCAGATATCATCATCTTACGCTTAAAAGGTTTTAAAAAGTGACCCCTGTGACCTTAAAAAAGGCCAAGGTTTGGTTTAACGTCCTATTAACAGCTAAGGTCATTTAAGGACGTGCATCCATGTGTATTTTGTATTTATGCTTAGGTGTGTGTATGCAGGAGACAGGGTATGTTCGTGATTTTGCCTCCCTTTGATAGCTATGATTTGATTCCGACATTAAAGTGCTATATCATTGAAATGAAGGCACCCAGCACACCTTCCGCCCAGTTACATTATACCGACAACGGTAGAACCAGTTGTTGCTATTCTCCTTAACGTTAAGCAGGGAATAACAACTACCGTTTTTAAGGACTTTGATATGTCCCGGTCTGGGGACATAACCCCTTGTCTTTCTCCTCTGGGATAACGCTCAGCATTAAGGCCAAACGTGAGATGTTGCCAAGCAAAGGCCTTCATTTAATCATTGCATGCTACTTGCAAAAAGTGGTTAAAAAACTTCAAATATAATAGATCCCGTGACCTTAAACACAAGTCAATGTCTTTCATTTGAACAGACTTGGTAGCCTTTTATCCAAGCACGGTATTGGCCAAATAACATTAACCTGTGCCTTTCGAATATTCAGAAGAAGTTGTTTTAACATAATTGACCCCCGTGATCTTGAACGAAGGACATGTTTCAGGGCTAGGTGAGCTAAAAAGGCAACACAATTGCAATTTTAGTGGTTAATGTAGTGTAACAAAAGTGAAAATGCCGTTGCGTGGAGCACTAGCACATTACAAAAATGAACGTCTTTCAAAATCTAATAGCAAGAGGTTCAAGGGCCTTAGCGGTCACCTGAGATATATTATAGGTACTGGTTGCTCAATTTCATTGCTGAGAAGTGATGTAGTCAGGATCTTACTTTCAGATACTATTTGATTTCGATTTCTTTATAACTATTACAACCAAGTTTGAAATAGTTATTGCTGAAAATGCACAAGGAATAGTCAGAAGTGATATTTCCCTATATAAACCCAGGATAACAGATGACCAAAGGATAATAAAACTAACATTTTTTTATAATGCACAAAGGGGCATTTCATTGCCATACATAAAAGAAACTTGAATCTGGTACATCTGAGTGTAGAGATTTTGTTAAATATTAACATTTTTTCCCGTTTTGGCCCCAACCCTCCAGCCCCTGAGGTAAGGACGGATTTTGTGTTATAACGCCTTATTGCCATCTTATCACAATTGTTTCAACCAAGATTTAAATACTTTCTTTCCGAGAAAAGACAAAATATATCAAAAGTGTTTTTTAATGGGTACCTATATAAACTACAGTAAGCTTACCCTCTCCCTAAAGGAGAGCAGATGGACCTTGGGTTAATGAAATTTACAATTTAGATTAAGCACCTAAGGACCTTTCTATCAATGAAAAGTACTTGAGAAGACTTTTTTTTTACTTTAAACCATTTTCCCCATGTGGGTCCCACCCACCCAGCCCCTGAGGATGGGACAGGATCTTATTTTCTCATACCATCTAATTGTCATCTGGCATCATAACCATTCAAAACAAATTTGAATAATTTCCTGCTGAAAATGGACAAAATATATCCAAAAGCTTTATTTCCCTATATAAACTATAGTAAACTTTACCCCCTCCCCAATTGAGAATGGATGGTCTGGGGGTACTGAAATTTACAAAACAGGTAATGCACCTGATGATCATGCATTCAATTTGATTGAAATACATCTGTCTTGAATAGAAGATGTTTTGTAGCCCAGACTTGGCTCCTTTGGTTGGGGTAGGAATCCCAATTTTACAAGTTTGTAGCTTCATCTACCAAGCATGATTCTGACCAAGTTTCAACACATTCCGTCCGCTGGTTCTTTAGTCAACCATATGAAAGACAAGTTTACGTACGACGCACGACGGACGACGTAGGACGGAAAGCGTTCAGAATAGGTTACTTGAGCAAGTTCATGTGACCTCAAAAAGTTCCGCAAACTATACGTATTTCGTTTTATGCCACGTCTTCATTATGCATTTTTGCTTTGTACATTTCTAATAATTCGTTAAATTTAATCAAATGTTGTTAAGAATGAGAAACAAACATATTTAAACCTGATTTGAATGGGATTTAAATCTCGTGAGAACTGAGCTTATAACTTATTTCAAGATCTTAAGTATGTTATATACTTAACTAAAAAAATGCTATACTAATTGTACTGCAATTTTCGAGAGAGAAACTACGCACTACAAATGAAATAAATAGGGATTTTATCAAACAATTCAGAATGAATGCATTTGACATTACGTTTTAGTATGATTCGTCTATACCTGGAATCGCCTTTCCTGCAGATCGGAACCATGTTTCACTATATTACGTTACCAAGATCCCCCTGTACGCAAACTATGGATTGGTTTTGATCAGTGCTACTTGTAAACAGTTAAGAAGTTCTTGTTAAAACTTAAGATCTGTTAAAATCTGATAAAGTTTTGGATATATAAAAATCCACAAAAAAAACACTTTATTTGACTAATGTTACATCACCACACGACACTTGAACTTTATAAATGGAAAATGTGAGGAACTATTTTCATCCTACTTATTAGCTGCAGGAAACATAGTTGAAGGTCGATTGGTTGAAAGTGCATATATGGGACGAATCTGCTTACGATTCACTTTGCGCAAAGACGTTAATATCACATGACAGATACGTATCTGCCTTACTTCATTGTTCAGCATTGGCATATACTTGGTTTTGTTAACACAAGTGCACACGTCTTGGGCAAAGAACAAAGAGCTTAGAGGGCCTGTATCGCTCAACTGACCTGGACAATAAAGCAACAAGAGGAAAAAATATTTACTTCTTTCTGCCCCTATGAGTTTGGAGTTTGGATGGATATTGAACATTAACTTCTATTTAACCCATTTCACACTCTTCATTTATGCAAAATTAAGTCCCCTTTGTCCAGTGATGATCTAGACCATATTCGGTTAAATTCCCAATAAGGGTACAGAAGAAGAAGGGTTTTAAATATGTACCTTAGTTGCCCTTATTTGGCCCCGCCACTCTGCCCCTATTACACTGTTTGTAATACAGATACAGTCCCTTTTGACCAAGGTATTCCAGGTCAGGTTAAGTCAAATCCATTAAGCCGTTCAGGACAAGCAGAGTTTAAAAGGAAAGTGTACGGACGGATGGTCGGACGCCGCGCTATTTCATAATTTTACTTGCCCTTCGGGCAGGTGATCAACTAGTATAAAAATCAAATATTAAGGTCGAATAATGAAAATTACGGACAGCTATATGTAGTAAACTAGAAATACACTCTTTACTTATGCTTTATTAAATTTACAACGTCAAAGATTGGTCACATCTTGTTAGCGATGATGTGAAGTACAGTAGGCCTAATATATTTATAACGTACACTTTTCAGTAAAAAAATACTTTCTAGAGATAGATGGATTTCATCGAAACATGATTTTTGACAATTATCGATTATATGGTCCCAGAGGTTATAAAACCCGTGTCAGTGCCGATCATTTGAAAGGTTTCACGCACAGGGGGTGCCACTGAGATCATTAACGTCGAGTTTATTTAAGATTTGAAAGGATTTTCAACCTGAGCAAGGACCACGAACACAAAATTTGAACGAAATATCATCATCGACAATTATCGAAAATGAGGTCCCAATGCCTAAAAATCATTCAAAGTTCAATGATTTACCCCTGTTCATGACATATAGAAAATACATGACTGTATATGTATATTTACTTGTATATTTTCAACTTATTGGGGCTGAGGTGTCAAAGTATATCCAGGACTTTTACTAAGAGGTGACGCAACAGGCGCGAATTCACGAGTTTATGTAGGTGGTCCCCCGTTGGGGGTATTGGGTATGGGGTATGGAGAAAAGGAAGTGAAGCCTACCACAAACTGAGAAAGCTGAAATTTCGAAAGACCCCTGTGTGCGAGCGCGGAAAAGTTTCCCCTTAGAATTTAAATGCACACGGAAATATACACGTTTCACTTTATCGTCGATAACTAGTATGCGATGCGATACGCGCACACCATGCGATATGAATGATTAACAATGCTCAGACGATGCAGACGATCAGTTGTCTCTGTAGCATATACAACAGCTATGGCGCTCCCAGAATACACTGAATACAAGTTTAACCAATTAATAAATATCCGATCAGGCTGTCTAGTACATTCCATGTACGTTACATTTTCTTAAACTGATAAATTCTCATTTGGTAACGGTACCATGCTTTTTTCTCAAGATTATACTACAGATAGAGTACCCATAACCAATAGAAAATCCATAGCCAGTTCAGTTATTCATCATGTTTGAAGAGTTGTTGTATTTTACTTGAAAAAGAGAGTAACTCTCACACGAGGACTACGCTTACAACCCTCCTTTGTGATGATCTATGCAGTATGTTTAATTTGATAACGACTAGCGTGAAGTTGGTTACCTATTCAATATCGTGCTAGCTCAATATTTGGCTGGCCCAATGTGGGCTGGCCAAATATTGGGCTAGTTTGATATCCAAATGTTACTAACATAATAGGTCTTATGCCGCTTTTTCATACCTATACCACAACTGGTATCTTCTAAAGTATTTATATGCAAAACGGCATCAACGATACCCCAGGCTTATTTTTTAATATCAGTACAGAATTATTAATTTTTCATGTTCAACATGCCAGGTCATATTGCTATGTGTCTTTTGACGCTTTTTCACACCGATACCACATTTGGACATCTTCTAAGGTATCCTTGTGTCCACAGCAATCTTACATTGTGTCTCGAAATGACGCATTCAGTCTAACATGTCTTGGCTATATCACATAGATTTCTACGCACTAATAATTTTAATGCAGGGCTAATCTACATTTCTTCTGCAGCGGGAAACATCAGCATTTCTTTTCCAGCATAGTAAACCGAACCGATATAAATTCAATGTCAGCTTTTATTCATCATATTTGTGTAATTATACTCAGAGCTACGGGATTATTTCCGCAAATTACGAACTACATTCGTATACAACACCGACGATTGCTTGCCTGTATTTATCCATTGTTGCTTCGACGTCATTGCGTTCTCTGGGAATCTCCTTCCACACAGTCTACTGTAGACTTGATCAACTGCATGCTTGATACTTGCAGAATCGATTTTTCAGTGACAATTATCATGACATTTTTTTTCCCCCAGCGGATGTGCTCTTTCGAAATCTAAACAAATATGATGAACTGAATATGCAAATGATAAATGGTGTAAGTAGTCTAGTAGTCAGTTGATCTAACTCCCCACTTTCTCTAATTCCCTTAATTAAAAACGGTTCCTACATATCTAACTTACGTTATATTTCACTTTGACAATCATTCCTATATGTGTAAAGGACGCCGGTTACCTCACTGTGTTAGTAAGTTAACGCACCTTTACTATTGATGATGTCAATTTTTATCGGTGCTTTTCAAACTCAGTCAGTTCTCTAGGTGCGGTTTTCTTTTATTATTAAAGTGTAGCGACCGCCCGAACATTTTCGTTGGTACGCATGCGTACGAAAAGATTACATAATTACTTGCCATATGTTGCACTTGATTTGTTGTCGCGCGGAACTAAAACTTCAATGAATGGCAGTTTCAACATAAACACTTACATATGTACAGATCCCGTCATAGGGAGTCAAATTTTCCATTCATGACTAAATGACAAAATATTCGTTTTAGCGAAAGTGCCAATTAGGCATATTTAGCCTGGGGTATCGTTGATGCAGATTTGCATGTGGATACCCTAGAATATGTTCGTTGTGGTATAGATGTTAAAAAGTGGCATAAAAGCTATAACAAATATGCCGCGACCTGTTGAAAACGAAAAATTAAGGATTATATACTGAAATTCGAAAAGATTCCCAGTGGGTAAGTAACCAACTTCACGCTGGTTAGATAACGTACATGTACTTATACTTATATGCTACTAGTGTAATATGTTTGTAATGCAGATATCGCTAAGATGTTTTTTTCTTAATAAAAATGCTGAACATAAAGGTATTGAATCGTGCCCTATCTTTGAACAACTTACGTTCCATTCAAACATACTTCCTAATGATTTAATCTACCTTTTTAATATGATATAGCATGCATCATCCTTTTAATTTAAAAGTGTATGCTACATATTCTATAATAAAAAATAACCACGTGAGCATGATGAACAAATGTGCAGAGATAACGTGCGCACAGTCATTCGATAGGTATCGTGGGTGATATGTATTTAGGAAGGGCCGGTGAATAAATACAATGTACGAAAACTGTAATCGCCCAGTTTGCTATCGTTCGCAAACCTTCTACAACGCATCGTGTCAGGTTTTGTGAACCCACAATTATTTATGTTAATGGACATGTTACTTGTTTAGAAGATATGGAGAATCCATAACTTGAAGTAGATATAACGTACACTCTTTTACATTTAAATTCATCTCAGTTACATCTCAAAAACAATAATTTGAAGATATCGATTGAATAATAAAGTTCACATCGTGCATACGTTCTGTACGGATTGTAGACCCCATATGCCCCTATACTGGATAATTGTCAAAAAGGAGACTCGTTCAAATGTCTATGCTCATGATCCTGGCTCATGATGAATGCCTATTTCAATCTTAATTAAACTCGATGTAAATGATCTATTTGGCACCACTGTCTGTTGAATCTCCAAACTTTCACAGCGTGCATACAAGTTTATATCAACTTACATTCTACATCTAGTGTTTCGGTGTTTGACTCTGGAGCTGATCCTTTGACGTCGGTGAAGTCGTTTTCAGCCACACACTTGTATAACCGTCCGTTATCACTGCTGATAGGTGGTTCAAAGGTGACCATCTGTGATGTCTGGGAACTGACCGGTGTACCGTCCCTGTACCACGTGTACCGTGTGGTGGACGGGTTACCGGCTGTAGTGTCACAGCTCAGACGGCCTACATAATCATCTCTGGCCAGCCAGGGGAACAGGTCAGTTACCGTTAGGGCATGTATCCGAGGGGCAACTGCACAGATACGTAAATAAATAGTTAGACATGGACAATAAACAATATAGACTTCTCTAACATTGAATCCTCAGTTTGTTTTAGAATAAATCATTCCAGTAAGTACTTTCATCAAAAGTATAAAATTAGCTCGATAGCGTTGCTGTCATGACATCAACAACTATTTTGAAGTATCTAAATGGTACATTTCATTTTTTGATTTTATATCACATTCAGCATGGGTTCGAAAGGTGATGTCAGAAGAACGCAACAATCATACTTTATAACACAGAATATTTATACACATTGATTCATTTCACATAAAGCTCATTTTATAACGGAAATAAAACAGTCTAAATTTCTTAATTATATGCTACGTTAAATGACGTATTCATAGATTGTCTGCAATGATACATGCAGTTGTGTAGTATGCAGCGATTGATTTCATATAGTTATATAAACACAATAACTACCACAGTAGACGTACAGTAGACGTTGAAGACCTCTGTGCGAGACATGATGATCTATAGTTATATAAACACAATAACTACCATAGTAGACTTACAGTAGACTTACAGTAGACGTTGAAGATATCGGTGTGAGACATGATGATCAATAGTTATATATTTACATTTGCATGGTATTGTCACTATATAGCCTCTTTGAAAGCTGTGTCGTTGATGGGACTTTAATTACCATGCCGCACGAGACATACTTACCATGCCGCACGAGACACAATTCTTAGCGTATTAATTACAACACTGACCGGAACTACAATATCCAATGTAAATAAACATGACGGCTGCTGAAATATCGCTGGGCGTTGTGAGATTTGATAATGTCATTGTAAATTTATGTGCAAAATAAAAATAAGATAAAACACACATTTATTACAACGAAAACAAGACCAAAGTCTGCAATATCGTACAAAATGCACATCGGTTGAAATCACCAATGCCGGCAATGGACACAATTTTAACGCTCATGCAATTTATCAGAAATATCGTCTGTTACACTGCACTGCTCAATAGGGGTTCGTTATAAATGTCTGAAATACACATATTCTATAGACCTTCTGACACATATGTTACAGACCTACTGATATGAGTCACAGCACACATAAACATTCGTCATTTCAGGCATTTGTAACGAACCTGTGCTCCGTCGCAAGATCACTCACTTCAAACGCTATCAGTTTCACGCACTGGAATCACCCTATAGACATATCATACGCAATTGTATTGATACTAAATTGTGGAATAAATTTGAAGTGTTTGTTAAAATGTCAAAAAACTACTTTGTTTGCCAATCAGCACGCGACAATACGCTGTTCAAACTATTGAACGAAATTGTGTGGACTGTCGATAAGGCGCGCATTTTTAATTTTAATTATAAGTTAAAAAAGAACACAAGAGGCAGAGAAAACTTAAATATAAGTATTGAACTGTTTTTGTATCATATTTATGATCTATTTGAATGACACAGCTTTGCAAGCAAACAAATCATAATGTGCTAGTACGCATTATGTTGTTTGCTTGCAAAGATGTGTCATTCAAATATATCAAAAATATCATACAAAAACAGTTCAATGCTTAAATAAACACAATAACTACCACAGTAGACTTACAGTAGACGTTGAAGACATCGGTGTGAGACCTGATGATCAATAATTAAATAAACACAATAACTACCACAGTAGACATACAGTAGACGTGGGAGACCTCGGTGTGATCCATGATGATCAATAGTTATATAAACACAATAACTACCACGGTAGACTTACAGTAGACGTTGCAGACCTCGGAGTGAGACCTGATGATCAATAGTTATATAAACACAATTACTACCACAGCAGACTTAAAGTAGACGTTGAAGTCCTTGGTGTGAGACCTGACGATCAATAGTTAAATAAACACAATAACTACCACAGTAGACTTAAAGTAGACGTTGCAGACCTCGGTGTGAGACCTGATGATCAATAGTTATATAAACACAATAGCTACCACAGTAGACTTACAGTAGACGTTCCAGACCTCAGTGTGAGACCTGATGATCAATAGTTATATAAACACAATTACTACCACAGCAGACTTAAAGTAGACGTTGAAGACCTTGGTGTGAGACTAACTACCACAGTAGACGTACAGTAGACGTTGAAGACCTCTGTGCGAGACATGATGATCTATAGTTATATAAACACAATAACTACCACGGTAGACTTACAGTAGACGTTGCAGACCTCGGAGTGAGACCTGATGATCAATAGTTATATAAACACAATTACTACCACAGCAGACTTAAAGTAGACGTTGAAGTCCTTGGTGTGAGACCTGACGATCAATAGTTATATAAACACAATAACTACCACGGTAGACTTACAGTAGACGTTGCAGACCTCAGTGTGAGACCTGATGATCAATAGTTATATAAACACAATAACTACCACGGTAGACTTACAGTAGACGTTGCAGACCTCGGAGTGAGACCTGATGATCAATAGTTATATAAACACAATTACTACCACAGCAGACTTAAAGTAGACGTTGAAGACCTTGGTGTGAGACCTGACGATCAATAGTTATATAAACACAATAACTACCACAATAAACTTACAGTAGACGTTGAAGACCTCGGTGTGGGATGCCCTAAAGCCCTGTACTGGATGAGTAGCTACACATGTACAGTTGGCCCCGTTATATAAAGGTGTCAGACGTATCCTCAGTACAGATACTGCCGTGTCTGCTGTGTTGGCTGGTGTAAAGGTAACGCTACGACCTGGACATGTCCATGTCAGACTGGCTTGTGGGTTACCTCCCCTTATACTACATCGGAGTTCAATGTTGTCACCATCATACACAGGATCACTGTTACCAGTCACTATGACTGGGTAAGTCGGTGGATCTAAAGACTATATATATGTGTGTATTAACATGTATTTAAAGAGCTACAAGCTGTATTTTTCATTGATGCAATTATCCGATGCTGATCAGTTGAAATATGTTTGAAGTAACTGGAAACGATTAGCTAAGCTGAACACTTCTGATGTTATACTGGCTTCGGGTGTTCTTATGAAGAAACCTTTTATTTTTCATAAACGTCGTTTCAATATTAAATACTTTTTTTAAACGATATTTCTGTAGTGACCATCGGATCACAACATTACTCTTAAATTACATGTCGATTGTTTATGATATTTCTATAATTGTGAGACTTAATGCTTTATATTGTTTATACAACTTCTCTACCGATCTTTTTATTTTACTATATGACCATTGCAATCTCATTTTGTGAGAAAACATTCTACTTTTTGCCCACTATTACATAGCACAACTCTGATAGTGATTCGTTCTGGCCGCAAACGAACGTCTTAAATCACCGATCCTACGTATACGTTTGATGTCCACAGCATTCATCGTTACTTATTCTATCTTAAGATGGATACACGCAGTGTTAATTGTGAAGACAACCATTTCAAATTGTATTGTGTGAAGTTGTGAATATATTTTAAAAAATATCACTTTGATGTGCCACTAGTAAAACATAAGATATTGCTAAGTATATTAAAAAAAACAGAAAAATGAACGTAACACACATACAGAAATAATAGGTCACAATAGAAAAGAGTGAATCTCCTCTTGGATGATTGGGACACCTAGAACCATCTTTGTGAATTCGGGATCTTTGCTCTATGTTTGAATGCGTTGATTTATCAGTATCTACGAGTGTTTTTCTTTCCAATTTCGTTATCTGCGCAATACTTAATAAAACATTTGAAGATATTTGTTTGTGTACGACTAATTTGACATTGTTAATATAGTTAAATATGTGTACCAAAACTGAATTTACTGACGGTATGATTCAATGGTATATGGATACCTAAACAAAGGGGTGTGTTACATGGCGGGGCATGATCGATTTTATGATGAAATGGATTAGCATGAAATTCATATTCAAACAATTATTTCTTAAAAAAAGCAAAGGGCCTGTTTCGAGTAATGTTAATTCTCCATAGGAGCCTGCCCCCGTATAATTTCTTATCTAGCTCAACTACTGTTTTTTTTCTTTTCCGAAGAATAATTTTACACCTTTCCGACACCCAGATTTCATAATTTCAGTGAAAATGTATTTTTATAAAGTTGTCAATTTCAGCATCAAAGACATAAGTTCGTAAATAAAAGAAGGTTATCTCGAAATTGTAATTCGCAACATAGTATAAATTTCTTTTGATAAATATTTCCAAAACATCGTGTTTATTCATAAAACATAAAAAAAANAGGACCGTTTGACAACACCGAATGGTTTAGCTCAGAGAGTCAAGACAGATCCGGATCTATCTAGACGGGCAAGGTCCGAGTTTGTCAAGATGGATGCATCTTCCGTACTGTTTCCCCGTCTCGATCTTGATTACTTGAGAACCATTACGTGTGGAACGTATCAGATATCTCTGGCTCCTGGTTACATCGCCGAACATTTAAGTGATGACGGAGACTATGAGGTGTGGCTTTACCAGCACTCCCCAGACCTTCTCCGATGTCAAATACATTCTCGACACAAAAGCCAAACGAAATATAACGTTTGGATACGGTTCACCGTTTCACCCGATGTTGAGGCCCCAATAAAGGACTACTACTGCCAGTGCCCAGTTGGAGAGAGAACGATGGGAATGTGTGCGCACATCTCCAGTATCTTGTACTACCTTGGGTATTACAGGACGCTGGAAAACCCTCGACCATTACAACCACAGGTAAAGAAATTCCGACAAAACTTGAAATAGTTTTCCATGCGGCAACGGAGTGCATATGTCGAAAGTATGTTTGGGGCTCGATATGAAAGATCCCCGTTACCATGTGACTAACCAAACTTATAAATATAGGTATTATACAATCGCCCGTAGCTATGAACACTCCCGTAAATGCGAAAACCAACCAAAATCATAAGGAACACGTTTTGTTTGTTGTTCTGTCTATTTGTCAGCCAATGTCTTCAACCACGGGGACTTGTGAAGTAGCCATCTTGGATTTTTTTTATGAAAAAGTGTTTCTCTCACTTTTTTTCATATCTGTGTACATATTCTCAACATACCGAGCAAATACTCTCGTTTTTTTGTTAATTATCTAAAGAAAGTCGAAAATCGGCAATTCAACCATAGGCTAATTCAACCCAACATTTGAAAATGTTCCACCACTTACATTTTGATGATTTTTCCTCTCATCAATAGCATATTACGTACTGTTTAATAGGATAAAAATTGGTTTGCATCCAACGCCCATAAAAGGGTGTATTCTCTAAAAAACACAGTTTTTGTGTCTAAAATGTTATCATCGAAAATGGCATTTTTGAGATTGTTTCTTCCATAAAACAGCCAAATGGCGCGATGGAAACATGATTTTTTGTCACAATCATGCCATGAATGTATTCTTTACGGTGACCATCATTTGATTAGATTTTCATTAATATTTTACATAACATGCACATTTTATCAACACTTAGACAGCTTCTGAAAGGTACAACTTTGAGGAGCCATAAAAAACAAACCAAGTGACCTAAATCTTTATACTTTATAGATTTGTGACCACAACGGCATGGGCAATGCACCACCAACAGGAAATTTGAATCAGAGAAGGGGCCGTTTTGGAAACCGGCCCTTTGCAACTTCACTGCTCTCTACACTGATTGTTAGGACGTCCATGACAAACGTGCATTTTAGTTCTTCTAGTTCTAGTTCCTCTTATAAATGACATTTAAAAAAAAACTTTCTGATGGTGTATAGCAACTGACCATATGTGATCACATTTCAAATTATATCTTTACTCATTATTGGTAATAATATAAGTACGTTTTTCTTTTTTCTTTTTTTGAGTGACAGGATAAGTATGATGAAAGTTCCGTTTCATTAACTGTTTACATTGAAAACTATCTTTCTGTATTTGTCTTTCTTGCATGTACATTATGTATAGACGATTCACTGGATATTTGTTGGGACTTTTTTTCTGTATTCTCCTTAGGACGACCACTGATACACGACCATAAATGCGGTATTGCACAATAGTTGTTAAAACAACTTTGTCTCAACTTAGGTATGGAAAAAAATCCAAAAGAAAAGTAAGAGTTTTAATAAATTAAAACGTGGGCTAATGTAGGGGCAAGTAAGCGAGAAATTAAAGAGGACTGTTGCAGTGCTTCATTAAAAAAGTGCATCCTTTAGTTTCAAAAGATTTTAGTATTGTTCGTTATATACTCCATCACCCTCATCAGACAAATGACCAGTGGAGCGTATGCACACAGAGGTACATATTTAAAAAATGGCAACATAAAGTCGACTTTAATTCGGCTATGCTATAAGCGTCTGTAAACGTAAGCGATATATATGCATACATGACGAATCAAATCGATAAATCGACCTTGACATACTTTGTTGAATGCCTAGTCATACATGTACGAGCCTCTTTGGCCCCCTAACCTCGATTCAGGACTGGACCGGTGGAATGCACAAAACATATTGTGACACTAAAGCCAACCAAATTTGGAGAAGATAACAGTGGTCGTCCCGAGGAGAAAATAAATTCGGAAAATGGGCATATAACGTGGATCATTTGTGCACAATTTTCGATTTCTCGATGTGAGGACGTGACACTACATGGATTCGACATAGATTTACAAGGCGGGTGTCATCGATGCAGCAGAGGACTCCTACCTTCTGGTCATTTCTCCAAGGCACCATGTAAATACCTCCTTTGTTCATATTTTGTAATATTTATTGTAAGTTCGAATTTTGTTGAAACTTCGGTATTCTTTTGTTTCTTTCATTCTTTTCACAGGGAAGTATAACAACTGGACCTTTCAAATTTCTTAAAATTAATTGAACCGATCGAAAACAAACTGATATTTTAAATATGTTTGCTGTCACTTCAGCCTCTGATCAGCTGACACAAATCTATTTTTTGTTTTCTCCAAAATGGCTGCATAGACGGACTCAAAGTTAATGTTTCTCGGAATTTATGTATGCAAAGTGTGGATTTTTTGAATGGATTATCTTCCTTGTTCGTCAATCTCCTAAGAATAGCTACACTGACATAACAATGCAAATATATCAAATTAAAAAAAAATATGTTACTCCCTTACATTACCATTCATTCATTCGTCATGCATTCAATAATAATCAACTGCAGAATATGGCCATATTACCTATCACTTATCTCCAGTTATGGTTTCTAAGTAATTATATATATTTACATATCCAATAAGGACTGTATTTTACACTTTGCAAACATTTTGTATCAAGGCCAACTTAAACTACAGTTAAACTCTGTCTGTTATATATAAGCATTGTTTAGAAGTGACAGAAAAGAGGTTAGAGTAGGTCCAAGAGGTATAGAAGGGAAAGTGAGACTAGAAGTACGATTGGAAGAGAACAAAAAAAAGTGAGACTAGAAGTAAGATTGAAGGAGAAAAATAGTGAGGAGAAGCAGAGACGCTGTTTAGATGTGTCGGAATGTTCAATGTGTTTCACCATATGTTTTCAAAAGTAAAAGTTTATGTAAGTATATTCTATAGATATGTGTATACATTTTGACAAAGACAGGGTTTGAGCAATATCAAGTAATCTTTCTAAATATTTTCCCATTCAGTATTACATTTCAATGAAAATAAGTCGCCTTTACCAACAGCAATATGTCTCTGAGTATAATCTGTGTCCTTAATACGATTCTTAAGTTCTTATGGTGGAATATACTGCTATAAATTATTTCGTAAATAATCCAATAGACTTCATTTCATGTACTGCTGAACTGTATATGCTTCATATATATTTCCTCTGTGGAAATGTACTTTGTTAAGAATATTTTTTCCAAGCAAGATGATCTACCAATTTAAAGATGACTGGAAAGCTAAGTCACTTGACACTTAACGTGACCTCTCCTAACCACAGAATTCTGGTATATTCTAAGTGAGTTTGAAGATCAATACCTACTTATAAATATTGACCAGGCGAGTAAAATTTCGCATAATTTGACTTATAGGTAGTAAATTGAACTTAAGATATATCCGATTGGAGTATTACATAGCTTCTTAATGATGCATAAAGCAACCTACCAATACGTTATAACATTTAATTGAATGTATCGGTAATTATATGGGACTTTTTACGAGTAGGAGAAACAGAATACAGGCCAGTGAACAAATCGAGTAAGACATATTTAAGCTACACATCCATTTTGTTGAATATACAATTATCCTTGCATCTGACATTAAGGGAATTCTTGCCCGACTTTTGTCCAACATTTTTCATACGAATATACAAGTTAGAACTAATAAAAATTGAAAATTATACTTACATCTGATATTGAGAGCTACATCACCCGACCGTAGAGTTGTAGCTGTACTCCCTGTCCATCCACCGTCTGATAGACAGTACACCGTCCGTCCGTTGTCCTCCTTGGAGGGTACATAGGACAGAACACTGGTGGTTGTCTGGGCGGAGTTCTGATTATCATGTGATACACTGATGTTGGCGGTGATCTGCTGTGGCTGACCAATGACCACTCGGTACCACGTGACACTGGCCGTAGGACGACTGTGTGGCTGTGTGGTACAGGTCAGTGTGGTGCTGGTACCTACACCTACAGTCACAGTGGTGGAGGGGGTGATGGTCACTGATGTCACAGGTACTGTAATATATGCATATACTGTTAATGATACACCAGTGTGGTACCTACAGTCACAGTGGTGGAGGGGGTGATGGTCACTGATGTCACAGAAACTGCTAAATAGATTAATATTTAGCATAATCTATGCTCGTGACGGTTTTTATAATTTATATTTATATGTTTAGGCATCGTTTTTTTTCATATTTATTTTAGTAGGTTGGTTTATTAATTTGATCCAGTTGTAGTAAACATTTTTGAAGTGTTTGAATTAAACAACTACGTGTACATACCTAAAATTGCTGGTTTAAATGTTTTGAGGATCTGTGGTTGGCGGTTTTGGGACAACCTCACTAAGGCTAGCTGACATGTACTGTTTATATTGTGTGATAGTTGCTCCTGTGGTTGTAAGATTAAAAACCACTCTGTTTATTTTTTTTAACTCTTTCCGTACCGTTGTCGTACACACACAACACTTATATGTGCTTCCTGGTCCCCGTTGTCGTGTACTGACGACACAAGTGTATGCCGTCTCGTCCCCGTTATCGTGTATACACGACAAGAGACGTTGGTGTTACCTGTCTATTGTTTAACTGGTTATAGCACACGGCATTCGCGTAATCCAATTAATTGTCTCTAAAATCAGCACCTATTAGTTGGAAATAACTGTATATAGGTGCAGAGTACACATCATGTGACCTTTGTCTTCGAATTTTCCGCAATATGTTTACATTTGGTGGTCTCCAATATAAACGATATGACGGCGACTTAACTCGGTACGAACACTCGTAAATTCATCACCAATAATTTATTGAGACTTATGAGAAGTAAATATGAATATTTTAATATATGCCTCGATACAAGCTACTTGTATTTAGAAAAAAAACTTATCGTTTCCGTAACCAAAGTCAATCCCAATTGGGAACCTACACTACAACGCTGTTTTAATTACAAGGAATCGTATCGTTCGTTGTCGGACAAATGTCGACTTCTCAGTGATAATCGGCTACCAGTTAGTCGACAAAATGCTTTAAATATGAAGATATGTATGTCTTTAAACAATAACATGAAACAGTAACAACATTTGTTAACGGTTACCTATTCATTTCTTGAAGTTGTTACACCTCGTCTTAAAAGTACATTAATAATCCGTCATTTTGTTATATGTGTAGGGCGAGTCTAGTAAGGATATTCGATAAGGAATCCGGACCGGAGTTGCGGTACGGAATAGGAGAAACAAAATGTACCATCGCCAGTTTTTATCGTCCACACATGGTAAGCACACCGTATTATATGGTTCATAGTATGTGTAATTGACCTGGGATGTAAACAATACTGCACATGAATGTAACGCTAACGAACACACATCGATTTCACGTAGATATGAACAACCATAATATACAAATTGTATACAGTTTTCCATTTCAGGTAATGACGAATACGCTGTCAGCTGCCACTTTTCTGTTCAGCATTCGTCATACCTGATTTACATTGAAATTCTTGTCGTCACATCAATATACCTACAGTGTGTACATATACCCTTAAGGTACACACAACCTGTGCATCAACAGGAAGTAGGGTGCTGAACCTTAACAACAAAATCGACACAGTCCAATCACCGCAATGCCCTTCATTTGTCCTGCTCACACTATACCGCCTCTTCAATAATAAATAGTCCATCGCATACACTTGCAATTGCCTACTACGTCACTGAAGTTGTCCCACTACTCATTCCCTAGGCGGCGTATAGAAACATGACATGGACAATCTAGACACACCATCCCGCATAATAATCATAATAATAAATAATGATAATTCGAGGTTCTTTTATACCGCTTCATCACAACTTAGTTCGTATGTCGTTTCAAAGCGGTTCATAAATTAGTATCCATGGTTATAGGGCCTTTGCAACCAGCAACTAACTTTCTTTACTATCACTGGGACCACATTCGTTGCAAATCTAATCCAAATGTCATACAATTCATAAGCCAATTATTACTAGCCATACAACTAGTTTATAAGAAAGTTCCAACAGTATTTAGATTTGGCAAGCTGAGCATGTCGTACAATTCCAAGCAGGAGGTATTATTTCGCCTGAAATCTGTTTGATGCAAATCGAATCAGATAATTTTTAATTACACAGTTTATGTACATGGCGAGTCAGGACAGTATATTTTGTTTTAGTTTCACACATCGCACCAGACAATTCCTGCCCGGATATGTGTAGAACACGCGGCCCATGTAAAATTGGCCAAACAGTCTATTCACAAAGAAGTGAACGGCGCCTAACAAGGGCGCACTCGATCAGTGGGAAACGTTGTCATTTCCTGAGAGCCCGACACTGCTCACAACCTCTCGCATGGTACCATTGATTTATATAATACATTTTTGGATCCTTTGCATTTGCCTTAGAAAGAAAACATATATTATCTTCCATGATGTCTGCTTTTCAGTTCATGAATATAAAATAATTTCGGTGGCAAGATAAGTTCTACGGATAATCACATTAAGCTGCGCCGAATCTGAGACACAAGCAGGTCACAATTTTCGATATACCTGAAAGGGACCACTGCTTTCCAAATTCGGTTCAAGACTGTGAATATGATTCTATACATTCGATGACTCGATTGTATGACTAATCGAAGCACTGTTTTTGCACATAACGGAATAAAACTGTTTCAGCAGCCCCACACAGTAACAAGTTTGTCACTAGCCTTTTGCGAAGGTAGTCCTAGAATTTCAGAAGGGACCTGCAGCTTTTTTTAATCAGCGCCACGATGGGGATTGTTCCGGAAGTCTACCAATTGGTTCATCCGCTGGTTCTGTTTCGACAACACATGGTTTTACTTCCTTAAAAACTCTCGATAGTTCCAGGCACGTTGGAAGCTCTGAATATTCTGACTCGTGTTTTACAATAATTCTGGCCCTGTTTCCATCTTTGCTTGGTGACCATTTCAGACAAATTTAATCCTCGAGAAGCATTATCAGCAAGATTCACTTGCTTTCCATATATCTCCTACAGGAGAAGACCCATCGTGTATATGTGGAAATGCCGTTTCTTGGTTTTGATGTATTGCACGATTTTACTATCTGTCCTAAACAAGTTTTTGTCTACAGAAAAAAATCAGTTCATCATTCAGGATAATATTCACCCGTACCACGGACACAGCCAAAGATTTTCCAGAAGAATAAACAGTGAATATATTGACTGACTTCACAGCTTGAATGTACGAACCGTTCCATGCGTACTTCTTTAGACAAACAAATGATAAAGCTCTAATTTAACTCCAGAGTCGAAATTATCCGGTGTGAGACAACGATCTCTCTCAAAAACTCAGCCATTTCACCAATATTGTTTGCTTTCGTCATCCAAGTATTTCTTTGTTCATCTTACACTCTGACTGAAAATTCTGTTTATATTGAAGAACGAATGGACACACGAATTGAAAAAGGATTATATACTAAGTGTGTGAAACTCAAAACGATTTGCCTCGTGCATTTTGTATCCAACTCTTTGATTTGATCTTGATTCCAAATGTGTCAAAGTTAATGTTCCAGTGAACACCAAGTTGAGAGCTTCCTAATAACGTGAGATCTCTCTTTGTAAGCAAACACCATAACGCGTGCTAGTTTCATTCACGCTAGATGATAATTCATCACCAAAAAAAGCCGCGCAAATCCAAACAGAGTGTGGCAAAAATCGTTTGATTCTGGCTTGGTTGGATCAGTGCAGTGTTACAGAGGATATTTCTGAAAAATTGTATGAGTGTTTAAATTATTTTCATAGATTATTTCAACCGATGAATTTGTACGATTTTGCAGACCTTTGGTTTTTTTTTGTGTTGTAATAAAAGTATTTTAAAAAGATGTTGTCGGTTTTTTTTACACATTTACAATTACATTGTCAAGTCTCACAATGCCCTGCGATATTTCAGCAACCGTCATGTTTGTTTACATCGGATATTGAGTTCCTGTCTGTGTTGTATTAATATGCTAAGTATTGTGTCTCGTGGTACATGGCATTTAAAGTCCCATCAATGACACAACTTACACAACTTTCAAATAGGTTATCTAGTGACAATGCTATACAAATGTTAACACATCAAAATAAATATGAACAGTTATAATGTAAAAAAGCCATATGTTAATGTTTCACAGGAAAAGTATAGACATTGTACCTTTTCCCCAAGTAATCACCATACGTAAATGACATTGACGTAGCTCACCAACATGTATACTCAACAAGTAAATGCACAGTTCAAACATGCTCTACCCAATTTATTTTCAAATCTGTGTATTCTGTCATAAACATTATACACTCACCTATAACGTCAACTGTGGTCGTGTCTGTCTGTTGTGGTATTCTATTGTCATAAGTGTTATTTCTCCCCACACACGTCCATCTGTCCCCGTGACTGTAACTGTTGGCGGGAATCTGTATCCCTAGTGTCCTCGTGTCTCTGTTACAGGTAAGTGTGTAGGGTGGTGTTGGGTTACATATTGTCCCATAGTTTATATGCATTGTACCTATTCTACCTCCACTATCATTTAGTTGATAGTTAACAGCAGCATTCTGTCCTGTGTAGTCAGCTGACCATTGACACGTGATACTGAGGGTCTGACCGGACACGAGCTGGACTGAAGGACTTGGACTGACCACCACAGATAATCCAGTTGCACCTGTACAGATGAGAAAAGCGATGATCAAAAGTTTGTTATGCTTTTACTATGTTTAGTGAATATAATACGGCACGAGTAGAGGGTTAATAGTTAGTTTGGTCCGTGTGTATATTGAGTATATAAATATATAGTCATTGTTGACATTAATAGAGATAACAGTTATTGTAAGTTTGTTGTACAGAGATTGGTTGCATGTTCTCTCTACCACAATTGAACATGTCTTGGCTTACGGCTGTTTAAGTTTATATGTCATATTCTAATTGTACTGGACGTTAATACTTTTAAATAAAGTATCAAAATTAAAGGTTGACGAACCTATACTCAGCGTTACTGTAGTATGTGAACAATACATGTAACTGATCGGTATACGTATGTCTCTCATCAGTTTAAGTACGTACATGTATTCATACATAAATTCAAGCAAGCATATGTTGGCTTACGTTAAAATCTATTATCAAAAGCATATCTCAGATTTGTAATATTGTCAATCTTTCTAGTAAGTAATGTTTTCTATTAAATAACCTGATCAGAGCTACGTTCACAGGTTAAACATCACTTTACTTTTTAGTGTGAACTGTGAACAATCACATGCTATGCATAATTCATTATATAGATATTAATTTGCATTCTTGATGTTAGTTTTCTACATGAATATATCAACTGTAAACAATTGCCATTATACCATGAACACACTGTGAATACAACGATGGTCATGCAACCAGTCAGCTAATTCCACACACAATGACCACGCAATTCATATAACTACGCATTGTACCGTTTCTGATGTTTCATCTAGTCTGGCACTGATTTTATCTTGAGTGGAAGGGGATCTTTCTTTTACTGAACTTCTCTATCTTTTTTTTTTTTTCATAAGAGGGATTCTGACCTCATTGACCCCGTTATTTATCCGCCTAATGCGTGTTTTACATTATACCGCTAAATTTGAGGTGACGAGTATGACATCATCAGAGTTGTGACATCATCTTTGTAATGGCTGACGTTTACCAGCCATGGATACGAGTTATTCCAACATAACCTATTGATCATGAATAATCCGAAAAATATGTCAGGAAGAGATGCTTCATCTATTGGGTATTTCTGTCTTCTGTTTTCGTTGGAGCTGATTATACACAAAAGTACCTTGCTTGCCCAGGCGTTTTGAAAGGTTTCATGGGAAAACAAAGTATGAGAGTTGTTTAAAATTTTCCAACATGTATATGCATGCCTGCATTATGTTGTCAAACAATTATTTTTAAGTCAGAACTAAATAACCAATGCATTCGTCTGTAACAGTCCCGTCCTGTAAA